CAAAGTCACATCGGCGGTCGTGATTGAAATGATGAATCAAACCAAACGCGGACTAGTCTCGCGCTCCTCAAGAGTTAAAACGTTGTCTCCCCCTCCCTGCCTCTTCCTTCTTTCACCCTAAATAATCTAATTATCTCACATCTTCATGAATTACAATTTGCTTGTAAGAGTTTCACCTCGCGCCGTCGTCGGCGCGCTTCGCTATCGATATCGCGCGTCTCCGTTTCTCCTCCGTCTTCGTCGCCGTTCTCCCGAGGCACGACCGCGATGCACGCGTGGGTGCGCGCGGCATCACGCCGCGCCGCGCCGCGCCGCATCGCATCGCATCGCATCGCGCGAGAGTTACGGCGCGCGCTCGGTTGCACGCCGCGGCATTAACATATAGATGCGATCCGTGACGCGGAATACATACGCCGGATGTGCGCGCTTACGTTACGCGCGATAACGCGCGGATGAACGAACGAACGAACGAATGGACGGGGGTAGGCTGCTCTCGCGCAGCCGACAGAGAAACGGGGGTAGGTAGGTAGGTAGGTAGGTAGGTAGGTAGGTAGGTAGGTAGGTTGGTAGGTAGGTAGTAGCCGAGGGCTACCAGTTCGCCGTAATTACCGCGCGCCGCTTATGAATAACGGCGAGGGCGGACACGTGAGAACGAAGAAGGGGGTGGGATGGGGGAGTGGAAGAGAGAGAGAGAGAGAGAGAGAGTCTCGCTTCCTCGCGGCGGCGGAAGAGCCGCGAGATCGTCCGGGGATACCTCGGTAACGAGAGCCGGCCGCGTGTCCGACGACGCTCGTCCGCGCCGGTCTCGCGGCGGGCCCGCACGATTTGCGATCCGCGCGTGGGCGGATCGCGTCAAGTGGCTCTCTGCTGGCGTATCCCTCGCGAATTCTCGCGTTATAATGTAGCAAACGCGTTCAGCCTCTGAAACATGCGTACACACACACACACACACACACAGACAGACAGGCCGGACGCGTCGTGCGAGGTCTCTCCTCCGTGATTTTCTTCACTCCTCCCGATAGGGGAAAGGCGCCCAAGGCGCTTACGATCGGCCGGTAGCGTAATGCTACGAGAATATTACGACACGTAATACGATTACATGGCGATATCGCGGTTTATCCGCGAAAGCGTGCTCACTTTCACGTGGCAGTCTTGCTCGGGAATTCATTCGGCACTTAGCCGCCGCAGACACGCGCGTTACGATAATATATACAGGCAGCTGTACGGCGACGCGATCTTTGAGATTGATTGGGGTGTATACAGAGAGAGAGAGAGAGAGAGAGAGAGAGAGAGAGAGAGAGAGATGGTCCAGAAGAGTGCTTTCGATCGACTACGCCTACGGAATACCCTTGCGAGTTGTTCGCAATGAAAATACGCGAACTGTCTGCGAGTGATAATTGGGAGCCTGATGATGTTTGCGGACTCTTTACCGCGCTTTAAAGTCCGCTCTCGAGCGTGTAAGACATAGAACCGCCGGCTTTGGCTTGGTCCCTTGGTGTGGCAAGTGAGAACGGAAGTTGTCCGTTTTACGGGCAAGTTCCGAGAGACGTTTTCCGATACGGCCTTATTGCTCTTTTTGCGCACACGCGCGCGGACTCGCGATATCATAATATGAGATCGTTACGCGCGGCAACGCGGACTCGTTTGAACGATCGACCGCGCGTCGGAATCGCGAACTTTAAGATGGCGGAAGTTGGAAGATAAAAAGGCAAGGCTCGGCCTCGCGCTTCGCCACTGCCGGATGATCGAAGTAACGAGAGAGGCGGAGGCGCTCGCTCGCTCGCGCTTCATAGAGGGAGAACGAGAGAGCAAAACCGGTAATGAAGTCTGAAAGCTGCGCGCGGCGTGCGAGCCGCAAGATGCGCGCGCGCGCGTGATCGACGGACTTGGTCCTAATGAAATTTCGAGGACGTGAAAGTGAAGATCGGCTGGAACTTGATTGCTCGTTCCTTCGAAATCCGGACAGATCTACGCGAGTAAATCGGCCGTGGCGTTTCTCTTCGTTTAAACTCCACCGCCGTCACCGCCGCCGGTTGACGCGTCATGTAATCTGAAATCGACTTGCGCAGGATGATATCCCAGGTCTACCGGATGTTCTCGTGACCCACAGGACAAACCGACAAAGTCGAGCTCGAGCTTCTTTCCCCCCCTTTTCTCCCCTAGCCATTTCCACCGCGTGACGCGTAAATCTAATCGCGACATCGAGCGTTTACATGGCAACTGACGTCTGCTCGTTAGTGGAAAGCGCGTTCGTCGTTTTCTCAGCGCGATCTGCGACCCGACTCGGCTGTACAAGATCGTCGACGTTATCACGACGCGTTATCGACGGCGGGAACGGGTAGTTTCGCGGGGGAGGAGAGGCCGGGACGGAGGGAGAGGAGTATTTCCAGGAGGCCTATTACGGTGGATAATTTACGCGGGCCGTTCCTGCCGCGCGGTTCCCCCGCGAGGCGAATTTACGGCGACAGCGAGCGGCGCTCGCTCGCGCGCGCGCGCGCGACACTCGCCAGGTGTAAATTCGATTACGAATACTACTCTCCTTCGTGCGTCGATATTTCACTCGACCGTGCCAAGGAGTAGGTGGTGGCGTCGCGCCGCGTAATCCACGCGCGGAATTATGCGCGACCGCGTAGGCGGCGAGAGAGTTCCGCGCGCCTCGTAAAGAGACGCGGACGCGCGATAGCGAAAAACTCGCGGGCCGCGATAATTCCGCCTTGCGGAATATGTAAACTAGTTAGCTCGCGAGATCAGCGAATACGTGCATATATTGGGTTGGCAACTAAGTGATTGCGGATTTTGTCGACAGATGGATTTTACACTTTCTTTTGTTTCGTTAACGTATTCAAAGTACCTAACCTATATTTTTTTCTTATTGTTTGGACTTCTACCTTTCATTTAGTACAAAAATTATATCGATTAGTTGTTTAGTTTTGTTTTTATTCCAATTTAAAAATGGAAGAGCAAGACGTGCACTTGAGACATATTTTATTGTATTATTTCCGAAAAGGCAACAACGCATCGCAAGCACACAAGAAGTTATGTGCCGTATATGGGAATGAAGCCTTGAAAGAAAGGCAGTGTCAAAATTGGTTTGCCAGATTTCGTTCTGGTGATTTTTCACAGAAAAATGCTCAACGATCTGGCCGTCCAGTTGAAGTCGATGAGACCCATATCAAGGCCATTATCGATTCAGATCGTCATAGCACAACACGTGATATTGCAGAGAAGCTCAATGTATCGCATACATGCATTGAAAAAAATTAAAAATTTTGAATTTTCATTCTTATTTAAAATCCGCAATCACTTAGTTGCCAACCCAATAGAATGTTTTCGGAATTGGCAACGCGTGAACACACGTGGAGTATATCATCTCGTTCGCACTGACAGTTCGCGAATTGTGCCGCGAGCTGCCGAACAAACTTCTACATCTCTTTTTTCTTTTTTTTTTTCTTTCTCTTCTTATTAAAGAGCGATTCAATTTCCGCTTGATCATTCGAACAGGAGACACTGTGCACACGCGCGCGTAGTACGTCAGTTTCCCTGGATTTTTCTCGGCAAATTTCGACGTCGCGCTTCCTTAACGAAAGTTCTCATCAATGATAATCGTTGAAACGGAAAACAGAAAGCTGACAGGCCTCGATATAAAATCACGTGGAAAGGCAACATCGTGGCCGAGCAGTTGCCTTCTTTCGCGGCAATTAGACGCGCTATCGCGACGCTTGGAGATCGTTAAGAAAAGCGGCTGGTTAAACGGGAATCGTCGTTCCCCGTGCATTCCGTTCGACGTCCGATAATTAGCGTCGCGGCACCCGCGGAGCGAAATCTCGCTCCGGGTGCAAACCCGCTCGCGATACTCCTCTTCGCGCGTCGATATTTCACTCGCGATTCGAGAGACGCAGGCAGCGTCGTAATCTACGCTCCGTATTATGCGGGCCGCGCGTGGGCAGAAACGCATACATTCGACGCGATGAGAGATCTCGAGGGAGCCACGCGACGACCTCTCGCGCTTGCTTTTCACGCGTCGTTTTCCCGCTCGGAAAAATCGCTCCGATCTCTCGCTCACGTACGGCTCTGCTAGTCTCAACTCGTCGGCTTATCTGATCGCTACAGCAATGTTGCGTCGTGCCGAGTGAAGACCGACGAAAGTCGCTCGGACAAGAATTAACGTTGCCTCTCTCATTCTCCTCTTCTCTCTCTCTCTCTCTCTCTCTCTCTCTCTCTCTCTCTCTCTTTCTCTCTTTCTTTCACGTCATGAAGCAAATCATCCCGCACATCGACGTCAATTTCGCGCTTTCGTCAGAGACTCGATTGCTGTTGCGTTATTTGCGAAAAACATCGCGGAAACGTGCGAAAGCCAACAAAGCATCGAGACGTCTGAACGGCAAAGGATTCGCCCGAGACGGCTCCGCCGCGAGAGTTCACCGCACGACGCGCGCGTACGCGAATGGAGGCGCCGGGTAAACACGCGGGCCGCGAGGGCGAGGGCGAGGGCGAGGGTAGTTTTAATTAAGCCATTAGGGGTGGCTGAGAGACTGCGACCGAACGGCTAGACGATCCGACCCTCTTCCTTTCCCCTGTCTCGTTCGCTCACCTGCCTCGTCTGCTAAATTAATATAGCGACCGCATTCCATTCTACCACGCGCGCGGCAACGAGACTCACATATCCGGATCGACTTTTTTTTTTACCCGCCGACCCTCATTGAGTTTGCGGAAATAACAGGGCTCTCTCTCTCTCTCTCTCTCTCTCGGTAGCAAACTCGCAAGCAAAATCGCAATCGGCCGTCGCGCATCGCGTACTTTTTTCATTTTGTTCGATTTTTTTTTTCACGCGGCTGCGAATTCGACAAGACTCGGCGTTCTCTCTCTCGCGCGCGCGCGCGTGTGACGTGACAGTATGACGCGTCGGGTTGCCGGGGAACTTAATGAAGATTCCTCGGCGATAATGAGATTCCAATACAGCAGCGTGTACGCGCGTTCGAATTTACTTTGCACTTACTTACCGGCTCGCCCGTCGTAGCCGCGCTCGTCGTCGTCGTCCTCGTGCTCGCCGCTCTCTTCACCGGCCGTGCCCTGCGTCTGCACGACTCTGGGTATCTCTGCAAGAATACGAGATAAATGAAGGATACGAGATGGAAGAAGGCCGAGCTAAACCCCGCGGGTGTTCGCGCTAGGAGCGCCGCGCTCCGATCGATAATTGTTTCTGTCTCGTGCGGGGAGATGCACAAGATGCATCTGTCTTGTGCGCGAGGAGATTGCAGAAAGTGTCTGCTCGCTCGCTCGCTCTCTCTCTCTCTCTCTCTCTCTCTCTCTCTCGTGAGATCTGTATCTGTGTGTCAAACAATGAGCCTGTGTTAACGAAAGAATCGGTGGAATTTCTCTGCGGAATGTTCTCTTGGGAATTACACGCATACACACACGTGCGCACGAAGCGCACGAAGCGCACGAAGCGGTCGTCGATCGAAGGTCGAATCGAAAGCAAAGAGCCGCCCGCGGCGAACGGAAGCGGAGGGTGGGCCGGCACGCACGTTTTCGCAAATTTCGCCTAATTGGACAAGCGCGAGGAGATCGCGCGCTAAGATCGTCGCGTGTTCCCGCCGATCGATCGATCGATCATTCTCCGGGGCAGCACGGGTGTGGTCGAGCGCGTCCGCCGCCTTTTTTGGCAGACCTTCTCACCACCCTGGTAGCGGTCTGAGAGGATCGATCGCGAGATCGTCTTGACGACAGACCTTTTGCGCTCTTTTCGGCCGGGCAGCTTTGCGCTTTCTTTGCGTCGCGTCGCGTCGCGTCGCGTCGTGTACGCGTTAATGACGGGATATGTCGGACGGACGGCAAAAAAGTACTCTCAATATCTCCTCGACTGCTCGTATTTTCGACCAGCAGGAACTCGAGCGAATTCACGGCGAATCGTGCGAACGAGAGAATGTTATTTCCGTCGTCCCGTACGGAGCGTTGATTTTGTAGAATTTCACGTCGTCCATAATTCAATCGTTGAAAATAACATTAGTCGAGAGAAGAAGAAAAAAGAAGCAAACTCGATAAAACAATGATTGCGAGCTCGTACCGAGTGCAAACTCCGCGCGCTGCGGAATCAATTCGTCCGGGCTCGCGGTGAAGTCGCGCAAATGCCAGGATATTGCAAGACCGCAACCGCAGGTAGAGAGATCCGCCCATCGTTGCGCTTCGCCATTTCCTCCCCGAGGAGTTTCTCAAAATTCCTCCGAATTTATCGCGCGCCGCTATCCCGTCACCACCGGGAGACGCGACGCGACGCGACGCGACGCGACGCGCTGAATTTCTCCCGCTCCACGCGGTCACACGCCGTGCTATCTTTCTCCTCACCGCGAGCACCCACTTTCATGCTCGTTGTAGCCGACGTTCTTTCGCCGCAACTCGCGTAAACGCGAGTTTACGTCTCGGCTCGTAAGGGAGCGAAGGAGGGTGCGACGAGCGCCGCGGCGGCTGCGGCGGCCGCGGCGGCGCACGGTGGGAACAAATAGAAATTTACTGTTCAAAAATCACTAGAGACTACAATTTTATAGCAATTGGGATGCGTTTTTTTTTTTAATTAAACGTTAATCGATGTAGAAAAAAACTGTCGAGCCTGATTTTTGAAAACATTTTTTTAAATTCTGCAGTATTAAAAAGAATTTATAAGAAATTATCAAGTTTTGCGAGCTCTCTCTCTCTCTCTCTCTCTCTCTCTCTCTGTAAACAAATGGAAAAACATCTTCCATCTTTTCGCTGCGCAGTACTAAGGTTTTCAGCATCGCTGATTACGAATGTGATATAAAAATCAGAATTTGGCAGTTGACAATTGCTAATCTCCTGTCAACATAAACAAAATCATTGTTTTAACACAGTATATATACGTTGCAATAGAGTATACAAAGGCATTCAACATAAATGTGAAGTCTGATATGAAGTGATATGATAAAAATAACAAATTCAGTGGAAAAAAGTTGCGAAATAATTTGTTTACAACAAAATTGTTCTCACGAAAACCAAATATGTAGCTTTGATCTGACGTTTTCAAATCATCAAGCATCAGGTTTTCAAAACAATAATTTTCTAAATACATTGTTTAAACGATTTTGCTTACAAAATTCGGGCTCGACAGTTTCTTTCTACATTGATTAACGTTTAATTGAAAAAAAAAAAAACGCATCCCGATTGCTATAAAATTGTGGTCTCTAGCGATTTTTGTACCAGCAAAATTTCTATTCGTTCCCACTGGCGGCGCGGCGGCGGAAACGAAATCGAAATAAAAGATAAACGCGGCAATGAAACCGAGTATCAAGCACCGCGAACGTGAGCGCGTGGGCGTGTACTTACTGATGCAAGGCGCAATATGCGATCTGCTCTGCTGGTAGCCTCTGGCGCATCTGTTGCAAGTAGTACCGGTTACACCGTCTTTGCAGGGACACTGGCCGGTGCTCTGGTTACAGGTCTTTCCAGAAGCCCCGATCGGGTGACAGTCGCACGCTGCAACGCAACAGACCCCGGCTACTTAGTAGAGGAACTAGCAGGGAACTCGTTGAGATATAGCAAACGACCGCTCTTGAACAATATTTTTCAACTATATTTTTTTCTCGACTTCTTCGTGTCCTCCTCTTTAAAGACCTCAGTGCAGAGAGAATCCAAATTTTGGACGTTTGCGCTCAAATATTCTCATCGCTGAAATCTCATGCGAATGCGACCGAGTCTGCTTATTCCTGAGGTATCTATTCCCCCAATCATTTCGTTCCAAATTCGTTATTGCTCAATATTAAATACGACTAATGAGAAACTAGCGCTAATTTGCATGACATCCACTTAGCTGATAGTTTCTAACGAAACGGCTAAGTGGAGCACACGGTGTCTCAGACGATATCTTCATCGTCTCACGAAATGACTCGAGCGAGTGACGGATTATCGAAGAAAATTTCACCGTCGAGGTGTATGTAACCGTGGCACACGGCCGAAAGAGAGCTTTAATCAAGCTGACTGTCAGATCTGCTCACGTCCACGTTAGTGCGTTCGAGTTTACCGTCGCTCGCGCATCTCGTTATGCCGCGGCGCGGCGCGCCTTCTCGAGATACGCTCGTTCTATTAAGAAACAACGCAGATAGGCAACCCGGAAAATGATGGAGATAGTCAGAACGGGCGTGACGATCCGCTACCTGAAATTAAGATAAAGCGCGGATTTACATGGCGCCTGTAAAACGACCTCGGCTGCAGCTCGATAGACGAAAGATCTCACGCGGGATAAAAGCGATTCGTTCCCATGAACGAGACGCGCGCCAAGAAGAGTAGCTTGCGAGACGAGCACGTCTCGCCAACCGCCGATCGAGTCGCGAATCGCAATTTCGGGATTTCCAGCCGGGATTGATCGCGGACATTTTTCAAGAGCGGCTCGAGCGACAGAGCCGCTCGCTCTGTCGTTCGCATCGTCGGGACGTATTAGCGCGCAGCTTATGTTTAGGAACACGCCCTGACGCGCGGCGCCTTCTTTAAACGAGGAGGCAAGGCTTGTATATCACACGCGCGGCAATAAAATATCGGGAGAAGCGTAAAACGTCCGGCACGCGGGGCGTCGCGATAACTTCTCGTCGCGCCGCTTTTACGCCCGATACGAGAGGCGCGTCAAACGGTGCTCCTCCAGGTGTAACACACGCTAACGTGCAGGCGCGCGCGCCTCCGCTTTATCTTTATCTCACAATTAAAAGCTCGTTCCACGTGGAAGTGGCACAGCGCGCGTAAATGTGTTGTGTACGGAAACGATAAAAGGGGAGGACTTAGCGCGCCGGGATGAATGCATTACGGTCTTATCCTAATTTCATGCTGCCTAATCTCGCATAAGGGAGGCGCATATTGGATATTAAAGGCTCCCCTTCCCCCCCCCTTCGCCTTACGTAGGACGGAGAATGGGCGGCGGCGGAGGGGATGAGGGAGAAAGTCCTGAAGGGTCATTCCGGAGGATTTATGAAATCAATCAGGCGCGCCTCGACGAACGGATCGCTCGTCGTCGAGGCATGCCTTAGAGAAAGCTTAAGTTCTCCCTCGAGAGCTCGTTGATGAAGCGGGCGGAGGAGAGAGGAACTGATAAATAGTCGCGCAAGTGCGCGTTTAGCCGCGTCGAATACTTCGCATAGCTGGACGTGGACAAACAGCGCAGGGGCACGCTTGCCCCTCTGAGCATCCGATATATTTTTTCCTTTCCCTTTCTTTTGTCTTTCTGTTTTGGCAAATGAGAATTTTTCGTCGATTTTTCTCTTGGCGGGATTTGCTGAACGTTGCAGAGAGCGTCGTAGCTGACGATGATTTTTATAATGCTTCGAGCATAATACAAATTCGAGAGATTAATATTAATAATGTTCATGAGAGGAATTATAAAGTAATAACATTCAGGAGATTATAAGGAGAAGGAGAGGGAGGGAGAGCAGAAAGAGGGAGGGAGAGGTAATAAATAAGATTGATTTATTATTATAGTTTGACGGTAACAGGTGTTATACACGAGGACTGTGAGAGCGTGGCCTCCTCAGCGAGCGAGAGAGAGAGAGAGAGAGAGAGAGAGAGAGAGAGAGAGGGAGGGAGGGAGGGAAGGAGGAAGAGACCTCCGTACGCGTTTTTCACGCGTAAATCATGGTGAAACGCAAATAGCGAATAATAAAAAAGCGACGCGAAGCGGTCGAGGCGCGCGCGAGTTATCATAATTATGCAAATGCATTAACATTTTCTCGTCTCTCGGGGTGCGTGTGCGTCGCCGACCGCGATTTACAACCAATAATCGCAACAAAATTGCGCTCATCGTAAAATAATAACCCGGCTGATTTACGGTGGCCGCGCGTAATCAGTTGTACCGGTGCGTCGTTTGTCGTGCCTCCCTCTTTTCCTTCTCCTCCTCCCCTCTCTCTCTCTCTCTCTCGTAAATCGCGTCGCGCTGATAATACGGGGCGATGAAAAACTTATGTCGCGCGCGCCATGGTCCGGAATTAACAATGACGCGTGCGAAATCGACCTCGTCGTTTAACGTGCGACGAACAGCGACCCGGCTCTGAATATTTCAACGGATATTGAATATTTCAGAACGACCCGCCTTGCCGACTCCCTTCGTCGATTACAAACGCGGAAAATCCGGAAAGGAGACAGCACGAGTGTAGTTAACGTTAGTTAACACGTGCGCGTGCTGTGACACGCGCGTTATTTATGCTGAAAATTCGACAACGTCGACAAAATTAACCGAGACATTTCCGTTGACCGACTCGATCACGAGCGAACACTCAACTACTAACGAATTGTTCCTCTGCCGAGGAACAAGCTCTGAAAATTCGCAGCTCTGCCGCTCACAGGTAAACCTCGGGGAACGTCAGACGTCGATTTATTTCCAATTTTTTATGGTTATTTTTAATATCAAAATATAAAGAAATCTGTTATCATTTTTAGCTCAAATTAATTTTTTCAATTTTTTCTCAAGATATTTCTCAAGTTTTTCGTTCATTCTTTTTTTGTTCACTTCTTCTTGTTCATTTTTTACCAGACTTTGACGTGAGCTTGTTTGCTGGATAGTGAGCCGAAAGATTACTCAACGTCGAATGTAGCATAAAACTGAACACTTTTTCAACAATGACGTCAGCCATATTAGATCCGCAATTTTAAATTTTACAAAATGGTTTTGATGCATAATCGGCGACATGCGTGTCAACAAGTTTCAACAAATCAGATATATATATTTTTAAGAAATATTGTTTCAAATATGTATAAAATAGTGTATTTGTGTAAAACTTGAAAAATTTCGAAGAAATTGAAAAAATTAATTTAAGCTAAAAATGATAACAGATTTCTTCATATTCTGACATAAAAAATAACTATAAAACATTGGAAACAAATCGGCGTCTGACCGTTCCCCGAGGTTCACTTGTCAGAAAGAACAATTTCATTAAGATCGCGCCGTGATACGCTGTCGTGTCGCGTTTTTTCCGCGGTAGATCTCGGCATTTTGTTGCGCGATTCCCGGCGCGGTTGACGTATCCTAGCTGGCGAGCACGCCGAGATTCGCCGGCGAGTAGAGCCGGGCGCGTATCAATTAAACGAGACGGCCGCTCCTGCTGCTGATGAGAACTGCCGTGGGACACAAAGTCCTCCGTTCGTTGCTTTATCTCCCTTCGCGTGACCCTCCCTCCTTCGGTCCCGTCGAGAGCTAATTGTATCGCGCGCGTAGCGACGCTCGCTTAAATTTCCGTTCCCGGCATAAATTACCATCTGCTCCGGGACGAGGGCGGACCTCGAAAATTAACGGGGCGCACGATTCGCATAATTCTTAATCGCCGACACTGTCGTCGGCTCGCGTATTGACGTGCTCGGTCGTTTTCGAGCGCGTGTCTCTCTCTCTCTCTCTCTCTCTCTCTCTCTCTCTCTCTCAGACCGGCTGGTTGCCGGACGCGTTCTTAAATTCGCAACGCGCCATCAAAAACCAATCCAGGCCAATGAGAATTTTATTGCCATGCTCGCGTGTGCTCGTGATTAGCGTCGAGATCAATTGGACGCGCGAATTTGTCGTGCTGACACGCGTCCGCGTGTCTCACATCTCGTTTCGAAGCCGACGACGCGGCGGCAACCTTGACGAGTGTAATTTCGTTTGACGTAAGAATCTTCTTGATTACTCAAAGGTGGTCGCGATCGGCTCGCGATCTTCTCGGGACTCACAAGAGTCAATGAAAGTCACCGGAGTAACGTATCATGAAATCACGCAAAGTTTGATTGGACGTTACGAGCATCCGGAGAGGCCCACGGAGACGAGAGGTAGTCCAATCTCTTGATTATCTGTCGAAATCACTTGGCAGTACTTAGCTGTTGAGTTGCGCGACGAATGCCTCGGCCGGCGCGCGCGCGCGCGCGCGAGCCAGTTCGATCGGCGACGTGGATTGCAATTCCGCGGCCGCGCCGTATCACGAGAGGTCACGGCGCGGCTGATTGGTCACGCGGCCTCGTCATTAGGAACGTCACAGACGCCGCGATTAGAGGCGGACTCAAGGATTTCCGCCGCGGGATACGAATCGCCGCTGTCTCCGTCCGACGACTTCGTTGGGAACGACGTTCGACTTTCGACACCTGAGTCGCCGTAACGGTTGTCTCGTGCCGGCGCGACTTGTCCCCGGAGACAAGGAGTCGTTTGTTCCCTCGTTACCGGCCCTTTCGTTACCTATAAATTCGTTATGCAACTCTCGCTGGGACGAAAGCGGCGACCTGCGCGTCGCCAGTGGAATTATACTCGAGCCGGGATTCTCGGATATCGTTGAAATCGATCGTCACCGATCGTACCGCAACGGCATCGCGCGTGCTGAAAGAAAAACGGCCTGTCGATAGAGAGAATCGGTCTTTTCCATCGCACTCGACTGCGTCGCTGGTCTACCGTGCGTGCGGAGGAATACGAAGCAATGTAGCCGGTAACAGATAGCTTCGAATCTTGCCGAAAAGTATCTGGTCTATCAGTGGCAGATCCCGTC